CCCCCTGTCCCCTTCCCCACGCGTGAGCCTCCTCCTGTCCTGAGGAACCCTGCCCCGGGGCTTTACTTTCTGCGGTCACAGAGCTGGGGCCACGGTGAACTTTTGCTTTTGCTGCAAAACCTTGTGAAGTCCGAAGTGTGACCCTGAGGTTAGCCTCAGCCCCGGAGCGGGGCCTGTAAAGTGGGCGGTGGGTTGAATGCTGCTGCTTTGGGCGGCTTGTGGAGGGCAGGGGGTGCTCTGTGGTGGCTGCAGAGCCCCCTTGGTTAAATGCTCTTACCTGGGGTATGCGCCTTGCATGGGGATAAGGAGGGCAAAGTTGTCACAGTGCACGGATAGCCCCTGGGGTTATCTTGTTTTCCAATGCAGCTGTTACAGTGCTGTGGGAAGGTGGAACTGTGGAGCCTCTTCTGTGCAGGTGGGAAGGATTCAGGTCTCTAGTGTGAAGGACCTACAGGAGATGCTAGCCCTGATTTTTAAGAGGGGAGGGGAAGTATTGTCCACCTTTATGCTGTTCAGTAGCTCCCGTTCACTTTTCCAGGTGTGAGGCTGCCTGGGGCAGATTTTTTATTTTTCTAGCAATATAGTGAGATTTGAGTGATTTAATGCTCCTCTGATTTTTAAGAATTTTTAACTGTTTAAGGTGATACTTAAAGTAGTCCCTGACTTAGCAAGTAGTCCAGATTTTGTTTGTGTTGGACAGAATATCAGCCTCCATGTAATATGTTGTATTTTGTGTCTGTGCTGTGAAGCTAAAGCCCTGATGTTGCTATAGGAACTAGTTAAGTGAAGAGGAGGGATGGATGCTGAAGCCTGTGTGCTTGTTTCTCTGAAAAGCTCCAGAAGAGTCATGCCTGAGCTCTTAACTGCATGTGAAGATGGTGTCTTTGTTAGGGAAACTGGTCTTCAGTGAGAAACATTGCTTTAACTTGGTTATATCTGTATGGTCCTTTTGAAGGCATTGAATTTTAACGGTTTATGACTATTGGAGAGAATGCTTGATCTGTCTGGTGGTTTGGGGCTGTTCTAATTGGTGCTTAAAACTAATTATCCAAATTTAAACTTGATGGATGCTGTCAATCAAATAGAAGCTACCTCAAGTGAATGAAAGGATTTTTGTATGTCAAACATCAGGCATCTGTGTAAATACACAGATTTACACAGATCTGCCTGAAAAAAGTGTTCTGTAACTGTAGATTTGGGGTGGTAGGGTGCACTTTTATTGCAGTATGTTGTGTGGGACAACTTGCAGCTCGAAAGTATTCATTTCAGCTATGTTGAATAGTCAGCTGTTCAAGAAATCTTAAGACAAAGTCAAGTGTTTTAATAGCTATCATGCTTGTCTTGTGACTTCCGTGTAGAAGTAGAAAAAAGGCTTAAAGGATCAGGCTGACTGAACAAAATACTGAATCACAGCAGTTGGTGCTGCTGAACATGTTTGTTCAGTGTATTACATGGACATTGGTGTTTTTCTTGTGGTTCAGACACTTGGATTTGTAAAGCTCCTTATTTTCCTAGCTTAGAGTAGGTGCTGTATCTTTAGTTTTAACTTCAGAAATAAGTTGAAGCTTGTTGGTTTTGTTGGTTGAATGGACAATGTCTTCTTAAATATGGACTTTGGACTGGTAATGAAGACAGAAAACTGAGGAGGGGAGAGATCTAGGATTTTCTCATGTGAACTTCAGTTGAAACCAAAACAAAACAAGGAAGTGGTAGGACTGAACCAGTCACTGACCATTTGCTCCTGGCCTGCTGGGGCTGGTTTCTGTTCCTGTGGCTTCACTCTGACTTTTGGGAAGGCTGAGGGGCAGGTTGGGACTATAAAGCTAAAGAAAACACAGTTCTTGAGCTGCCTGCTTTTAACCTCCTTTGTAGAGCACAAAGTGTGGTGTTGTCTTCGACCTAGCTACTAGCATTCAAGCCTATGGCATGCTATTAGTTTAACCATTATCATTAAATTTACTCTTTGAAATTGCATTTTACTTGAGTAACATTTTGCCTGTAATTTTGCTGTAAAGTGAAGTATGTGATTTGATGGAAGTAGCTCTATAGACAAACTTGCTCAGTTTAATTTCCAAAGTTATTTTGGGGAGAAAGGTAGCAACAGTGGTGTTGAGATGAAATATGTTTTTATGTAGCTGTCCTCTGATTTTGTGAGAGGGAGTGGCTTCAAGTTTCAAATTTACCCTGCTTGGTGTGTGGCATCAGCTGTTGAAAGGTGAAAGTCTTCTGTGGCTTCTTGATTACTGACAGTTGCTTCTTAAACCTGTGAAGGCTAAATTATTTTTCTGTCACAGAATCTTCAGCAACACCTCTCTGGTCAGAAGATGTCTGCTCTTGAAACCCTCTTTCGATACATTGATGAACATCAGGACCTCTATATTCAGGTGAGTTTTCTGAGTTTTGTCCTGCAGCATAGACAGCTATGGGATATTAAAAACTAATGGTCAGCTTCAAGCTTGTTGTTATACCTATATAATATGCCCAATAATAGAGTAATGTCAAGTAACTGGGGAGAAAGGGGAACAAGTAGCAGGTGTGACTAATTTGAGGCAAGCCAGAAACCTTTGTTTCTTAAGTTTAGGCATAGTTCTGTTCAAAGACCTAAATCACCATGGTAGATTTATTAGGAAATGCTCTCTTACTGTATAGTGCAAGCAGTGACTTATTTAGAGGTACAAGAAGTTTGACTACTGGTTCCTGAATGCCAGACTAGGTTTATACTCTCTCCCCTTTTGAGGTGGGAGAAGAAAGATTAAACAAGGCTGGAATAAAGCTTTCTAATATGAAACTGTTTATGTTGAGGGCACAGAGGGAGAGGTTACCTTCTGTACTCTGCTGTTTAACCTGCTATTTAATTGCACCTTGTCACCTGTGAAGGAATGGGTGGTATAGCACTGTCAGCTCCCAGCCAAGAACCGTGCCAAGCATTCAACTTCTAGCAGTTGTTCTTGCTGATCTCACTTGGGGGGAAAAAGCTAAGGGGCCTTTCTGAGGAGCCTGAAAGACACTATCTGGTTCTGGATGCTTAAAGAATGGTGACCAGAAAGGCACAATATGCACAAGTTGTCATACTCTAAAGCTTACCTTATGTATCTGTAGACTTTGTGCTACACTGCAGGGGCAGCTGTAGGAAAGTGAGGTTTCAGAGAGCTTTTGAGTGTCACATTAAGGGTTGGAGTACTTCTTTGAGCAGAGGGCAGAGCTGATTTGCTTCAAGTTTAAGTTTGACTGTAACAGTGTTAGTTGAATTGCAAAGTGTTGTACTTGTACAGTGCCTCCCATGCTATAATTCATGTACAGTAGAACCTTTAGCTTTTCTGTCTTTTTGTAGCGTCTGGCTCAATGGGTGGCAATCCAGAGTGTGTCAGCATGGCCAGAGAAGAGGGCTGAAATCAGACGCATGATGGAGGTTGCTGCAAAGGATATTGAGCGACTGGGAGGCACAACCCAACTTATGGATATTGGGATCCAAAAGGTATGTGAGCATCTCCATGTCAGCTTAGTAGAAGAATTCTCTTTAGAAGACAAGGTGTTTTGCACCAGGCTGGCTGCTTATGATCATTTACTGGGGAAGGGAAAGGCACTTCGACTCCATACAGTATAATTTAAAACGCTGTTAGTTAGAGCTACTACTAAAAGAGGATAGTATAGGTAGTCTTATGTCCCTTCAGATGGTGGGAACCCCAAGCTGTGCAGCATCTAGCAGGGCATCCAATCAGCGTGCAGCATGCTGTGCAGATCCTGTTCATGGAAATGTTATCCCATTTTATTTTTTCAAGCTGTTTGATTTTACTGCCAAACAAAAAGGGATATTCACATGAGAACATCTTGCTGCACTCAGATAAAGACAAGGACATGCAGGTGATGTAATTGCCAGTACCTAGTGGGAACTGCCTGCAAGCTGCAGTCAAGTGGCTGAGTTTATCCTGCTGCCCAAGGATATGCACAGCAAAATACAGGCAGGAAGGCGAAGCTGTGTATGCAGCATAGCACAGCGCAGGTGTGAATGCACTTAGGCTAAGTATGTGGATCATTAATTCCTTGGTGTCTGATAGTTGTCTGGTCAGGACCACCACCCAAGGTTTTTGTGGGTAGTGGCCTAGAAAGGCAGTAGCCTGTTGGGATGTGTTAAGCATGTTCTGTTACATTTTGGACTGAATATTAAATGTATTTTACATACTTTTCTAACTGAACATGAACAGAGCACCTTCAAACAGCAGGCTTGTGTTGGACCTTAGACTCACAGACTGTAAAGATACTGATTAAAGTTTCAGTAAGTCTTCCAAAAGACCTTTAGGCTCTTCCAGAAGTGTTACATTTGTCACAAGATTGCACTTCTCCCTTACCAGCTACAGAGGGATCCTTAATAGGGATGAGTACGTTCTTTATTTTTAGCTATCTGGACTGTTTTTCTTCACCTGATAAATGTGTGTGCTTCTGAGAATAATGATGATATCCTAGGCATCTATCCACTTGATATGCTCTTCCTTTGAAGTGCCTAGTCACTACACGTCACAGAATAAGACCCATACAAAGATTTAGACTAGCATTTGGATAGTGGCATTCAAAATCCTGTTGTATTGGAGTGTCTGCTAGTTTTAAAAGGTCATCATTGTACTTTGTGCTAATGACTGCTGGGTGAAATCTGTGTGTATTAGGACTCCCTGAGCAGTTCTTGCTTTTGGCAAGTGGAATACTCTTGTTTGTAGTATTACAGGTACCAGCAGGGAAGCAGCTGATTTCATGTGCCCTCTTGGGAGGAAATCTGTAGGACAATTCTAGCTCTGCTACTGCCTGCAGCCTAAAATCCCATCAAAAGTGTTTCAGTGAGACAAATTTGTTCCTTTCATTGGTGTAACTTTTGGGGGACAAGACCTGATTTTACAGAGTTTATACCAAGTAACATTTCTATTTAGAAAACTCTTGCAGCTGCATAAAGTTAACTGTAGTGATTAGTTTTGTATCAAGTATGGTCAAAACTAGTCAGTGTACTATGTATGTTGCTGCTACAGCAATGATGGACAATGTGAAGCAACTGGTGAACTTCTCTGATCTAACTTAGTTTACTGCTGCACAGTAGTTTGTACTGTGTATTGGTTACTGTAAGTGTAAATTCTTGCAATAATGCTTTAATCACTTAGAACTGCAGCTGGTCAAGGGCCATGTAACCTGTCGGTAAAAAATGAGAAGTTGGAGCCTGTATGAGCAAGAAGTCAAAGCTGATCTTGAATCTGCTGAGCAGTTCCTAGGAGTATGTTAGCTCACTAGAAGGGACATAGTTGTTGGCTGAGAACAGCATGTGATAACTGCTTATGGGTATTCCAAAGGCCTAAGCTCTAAGCTGAATTCAATTCTTGAAATAAGTTCATCAGCACTGCCCTGCCCTCTGCTTAACAGTGTGGGCTGGTATAGAGGAATACAACTGCTATGCTGACCTTATTTGGGTGTAGGCATGTGTTATATTCATTGATACCACTGTCAGGAAATTTCTGTCTAGAGCTATACTGAGGACAGGCTGAAAGTACAGTGACAGGCAGTGCAGAGTGCAATACTGAATGGAGTTGAACACTTATGCGTAGGTCAGCATTAGATATGGCAGTTTGGCATGCAGACAGCTTGATCTGCTAAAATCTGATGCAGGATTGTTAGTTTAAAGCTTAACAGTTCTGAGTGGCTTGGAACATTTTGACTATTACTGAGACTTGTCAGGAAACTTTTACTGGCATGGTGCTGCCATGCCTTCATTGGCACACTGCTTCTGGCAATCAGTTTAAGTAGCTTAGAGTTGTTTAGCTGTCTATGTTGCTAATCTCGTAACCTCCATAATGTTAAGTAATTCATTCATCTGATAATGTGACTCTGATATTCCATGTTTGCATAAAATTTTTGCCTCCTATTTCTAGTTGCCTGATGGATCAGAGATTCCTCTACCACCAGTTGTTCTGGGAACTCTTGGCTCAGATCCACACAAAAAGACGGTGTGTGTATATGGTCACCTGGATGTTCAGCCAGCAGCACTAGAGGATGGCTGGGATAGTGAGCCTTTCACGCTGGTAGAAAGAGAAGGTAAGAGCAGTGGACTTCACAGACTGAGCACTTTAACAAGTATGGTATTTCTCAACTGTTCTAAAATTGTACCCTTGACTGAAAGGGGAGTAGGAACAGATGTGTGTGTTTACTTAATACTATTGAGATAGTTGAAAAGATGCAGGAGGGGAAATGGTAAACAAGTAGAGCTGCAAAATCTCAGCTGCTTTCAGGACTTGTTTCTTTTTCTGATAGTCTAGACGATACTTAGATTTTATCTTCCTTGTAGCTACAGCAAAGTCTTAACTGCTGCCTTTGATAGTGACAATTTGTTGACAGCTTTCTAGAACTAGTTTCTTATGGTGTTCATGACTTGCAGCCTGTAAGGTTATGTCAGACTGTAGGGACTTTAAACCACTACAAGGGAATGAACACTTCAACACAGCTTCTTTATGCCTGGAGACAGTGGTGGTACAGCAGCCTCCCTGGGCTGCTTTGTGTTTGCATACTGTGCTGCGATGAGTACTGCAGAAGCTGTGTTTTACAGAGCTAGTGCCCAGACAAGTGTTCCTCTCCCATAAATGGGGATGAAGAAATTGTGCAGTAAGTTCTGTTGAAAAAACACATTGCCAGGAGCCAAGAGGAGGCTGAAACTTTCTCTTCTATTTAAAGCTGATGCTACCAACAGTTTCTTCCTTGTTTTGTTTGCTCAGTGTTGAGTGTCAAAGGTCATATGAATAGAAGGACATTAACCATTCTTGTTGCATAAGCATTAATCATTGCCAAGAAAAGTATTTGTGGTAACTAGTATATCTACTTATGGGCACTTGATCATAGGCAGTAGAGTCCAAGTTACTAAGTTGTATTATCTCATCTGATAGCAAAAGCTAGACTTGCCTCAGGCTATGGCTTGTCTCTGTGCAGCCTGGCAGTGCAGGATGCATATTTACCAATGCCTTCTTACCTTGCAAGCTGTCTGGCCTGTTCTGTCACTGTAGTTACACCCAGTGTTTAGGGGCTTGTAGCCTCAGCTTTGACTTCCAGCAATATCTGCCTCTATGTGATCCCCTGTGCTACATTTCCTGGGACTTGCCTGTAGCCTGTAAAACTTGTTTTTAACAAGTGAAAGCCCTTTCTGGGGAGTTTCACTTTGATCTGGGGAATCCAGAGAAGTGATTGGTCACTAGTCACTGAAGTTTTACTCTTCAAACAAAGAATTATTGAATTGAAGCTAATACTGGATATGTTTCTGTTAGGAGGTAGCTTGTTTCTATACACTTACTGCTATGTTTGTAGAAAGTTATATTATGTAAAGGATATGGGAGCAACCTAGCCCAAGGCAGAAACATCTGTTCCGGGCTTATGTTCAACTCCTATCTGGGGAACAGCAGGCAAGAGATGGCTGAAGGTTCATCCTTTTTTTCTCCACAGTGGTTAGTTTGTATCTTGTTTCTACAGGAAAGCTGTATGGGCGAGGATCAACAGATGACAAAGGTCCAGTGCTTGCCTGGCTGAATGCCTTGGAGGCTTATCAACAAACTAACCAGGTATGTGTCCAAAAGGTATCCTGCTTTTGCACGTACAGCTGAGTGTAGCAATAAATGTTAGACAAGCCACAAACCCTTGTGAGGCTCATTCAGCTGACTGGAAGAATGATGCAATAGTCCTGTAAATTCCCTGATGTCTCCATAAGGTTGAGTTAACTTGCTGACAAGTTAGTCTCGTAGATGCTTGGATTGCAGTTTAAACACTTTTGCTTTAATTAAATGTGTGGTAAGGAAAATACATATGCAAGCATCTGAAGCAGGAGGAGTAATCAAATGTCATGACTTTCATGTAAGGATGTCAAAGTAGCTTGGCCTTTAGCAAAACTTAATGTCTCACTGCCACTGAACTCTAAGAAGAGATTAACTTAGTAACACAAAACTGGGAGCTTTGCTCTTACTGTTCAAGAAAAAGTGCTATTGGAAATAGCTCAGGATGCCTGCTTTATCTTGCAAGACAAGTTGCTATGAGAAGAATTAGCAGTTCTCAAGTGCTGTCTAGGCACAGAATGTGGTAGACTGGATAGACAGGGTAACTCTGACTCTCCTACTGTAGCATGCAATTTCTGTGGTTAATGTTAGCTTTCCTAGCCCTGTGACTTACCTTTGGCAACAGATCTCTGCTGCATTTCCACAGTTAATGAGGATTGGGAAAAAGTTGTTCTAGAGCTTAGTTAAAACTTTTTAAGAGTTTGAATTCCATCAAAGGAAGGGGGGGGTGTAAGAGTCCTCAGTGTAAGCACAGTCCAAACTTTGTAATACTCGGTGTATAATTAACAAATTCTACTGTCATGGAACTAATTTACTGATGTCCATTTTTCTGCTTTGTATGTGAGAGATGAAAACTACCAATTGCTGAAGGAGTCCAATGTTTTCACACACTTAATCTGTTGTTGTTTTTCCTTTTCAAAGGAGTTTCCAGTAAATGTGAAGTTTTGCCTAGAGGGTATGGAAGAATCAGGATCTGAAGGCCTTGATGAACTGATTTTTGCTCAGCAAGACACTTTCTTCAAAGATGTGGATTATGTTTGCATTTCTGACAACTACTGGCTAGGCAAGAAGAAGCCTTGTATCACCTATGGCTTGAGGGGTATCTGCTACTACTTCATAGAGGTAAATGCTGAAATACACTGCAAAACCAGTATTAAGCTGATTTTCTTCCACTGGTGAAGAGTGGTAGCTCAAATTCTTTCATGCCAATAGCTTTTCTTCAGAAAAGGTGAAATTGACTTAAGTAGAACTAATTCTACTAATTGTCTAAATATCTTCCTTTTATTATCCTATATGATACTTGGGTGGGAGGGGTAGCTTTCAAATACATGAAGCAAGATAAGGCAGCACCTTCACTGAAGAGTTATCTCATGGCATAGATATCTTCATCCAGATATTTCCTTGAGTGCAGAAAGATGTCACCACTAATGTCTCCACTAATGTCTTCAGGGTTGGAATGGTCAGTACTAAAGGCTTGTACTCTGCAGAGCAATAAAAAAAAATCAGCTTTATATGCTAGAATTGAGTGGTCTAGTTTCAAAAACAGATGTATTCTCAAAATGCATACAGAAAAAAGCTAGGGTAAAAGTCTGTTCTGTTTGTCAGTGTCTTCGTGCTAAAATTAACATGAGTCTTAATTCCCTTCAAACCAGGTGGAATGTAGTGACAAAGACCTTCATTCTGGAGTTTATGGTGGTTCTGTACATGAGGCCATGACAGATCTCATTACTCTAATGGGTAAGAAAAAGCAAGTTTCACTGAATGCATCTAGAGTGGGAGTAAGAGCCATTAAAGCATAAGTTTGTTTGCAGTGAGGGGACATTGCTCAGGGCTGATTACACTAGCAAAGCAGTGACCAATGAAATGGTGCTTGCCAGGTATGCATAAAATAGGCTGATGCCGTAGATACAGAAATATGATGGTCTTGCCAAGAAGTGGTCTGTCTAATTTAGCTCCCCCTAAAATCTTGCTGCAAACTTGTATGTTAACTAAATCAACTCTTTTCTGCAAACTCTTGTACAGATGTCATATTGAACTCCTTGGGAATCCTCTCTTCAAACAGCCAGACAAATATGTACCAGTAGAATAAAATGCAGTTGCAAGGAAGTGCACATTTTGGATAGCTGCACATTCCATAAGTGCCTCCCATGCTTGGTGGGACAAGCTCTGGGAGATAGAGGTCAGAGTTTTATTACACTTAGTTTTCAGAAGGCACAGGCTTATATTTCCCATGAAAAGTGTTCCCAGCAATGACATCTTGTTTCTTCTGATTGAATCCTGATATTAGGTGCTTGTTTACAGGTTCTCTTATAGACAAGAAAGGGAAAATCCTCATCCCAGGCATTAATGAAGCAGTGGCACCTGTTACTGATGAGGAGCTAGCACTATATGAGAAGATTGATTTTGACCTGGAAGAATATGCAAAAGATGTAGGAGCAACAAAACTATTGCATGATACAAAGGTATATTGCACTCTGTCCTCTCTACCCTGGCTAGCTGTGTTCATTCAAGCTATATTAGTAGAAGACAGAAATAAGCTTCTGTGGATACTTGTGAAGTTACCAAGAAATTTAGTAGGCAGAGAATTAATCTGTCTTTAAAATAGTGAGATTGTTTTGAAGATAACTTCACATACTGTGTAGTTGACTGCTTCCTTAACACTGGCAGTTCCTCTGCAAAGTGTTAGGTGCTTGGAAACTTGGTCTAGGTTATCCCATGTTTCAGGCAACTTTAAATTTGCTCCTTGGTCTATGTATATGTAGCGTTTCAAACATGTGCAGAACTTTGTCTAGTGATGTTCTCTTAATACAGATAAGAACAGCTAGCATTTTTCCAGAAGCCAGACACCATGTCTACACAAAGCATCTGATTTCTTATGTCTGGGGAAGTTCAGTGGGTTATCAGAAACAAAGTAGTTGTTCAGAGGTTACTTCTCATAATGTGAGTAAACAGCTTGAGATCTAGCTGTGCTGAACTTAAGGTTAACATACTGAACATCTTCCTAGACGTGGTGAGCAAGGACTGTTCTGTAGCCATGAGCTAGGCAGCTGCCCAAATCTTTTAACAGGCTCAAGTTCAATAAACTTCTGTCTGAACTTCTCAAATCTTTATCCTGGGAACATTCCAAATGAGTGCTTTTAACAGCAGTGAATCTTCTATCACAAAAAGCAGAAACAAGTGTTGTAAAAGACAAATTTACATGTGCAGGTCTGTATTCTGTCCTAGTGCTGTCTGGAGGAGACTTCAGACCCAACTTAAATAGGTATAAGTAAAAATTTTATATCTTCAACCTTGTCTTAGATGCTTGGGTTTGTATCAACTGAGAGCACACAGGCTTCCTTGTTTAGCCTTGTCCTATAAAGTGATGTATGAAATATAGTTTGCATATAAGAAGGAGTTGGCAAGGTGCTCTTTATATATGATCCTGAACTAAAGCTGTTCAGTCTTAGCTAGACTGAAATACTATGTTAACCTACCAAGGGAGTCCCAACTATGCTGCATGCAAGAAAGGTTTTAGGACTAAGGGGAGGTATGGGAGAAAATGCCATAATCTCCAGGTGAGAAACAATGGGCTTGAAAGATTTGAACAGTGACAGTTAAATTCTCTTTGAGAGAAGATGAGAGGCAGATTGTACCTCTAGCAAAACAAACTGTTAATGTTAAAGCCCACAAAATTTCTAGGTCTCCTGAATCTCTGCCGTGAGATTCAAATTTGAGATTCTGTAGATATACAAAACACAAGTAGGTTGAATTCACAGTATCCAGTGTACTGAACAGCTGTGACCAAGGCAACAAGGAGGAAATGCGGAAGTGTGTCTGAAAAAGGCAGTAATGCTCACTTTAATCATCCAGAGTTCAGTCAGTTGAATACAACTGATTATATAAATAGCAGGAGCACACTGTATATATACCTCAGTCTGCATAGTGGTGAGGCTTTTGGAAAACTTGCGATCTTCATAACTTGTGATCTTCATAGACTCAGTGATGAAGGCACCTGCATGACTTGAGGCAGTGGAGACTAGAGCCTCAGATGTGCTCCTTATGTACTGTATTTGAGCACCTCATAAATGGTATTTGTCTGTCAGAAGCAGACTGGCCATGTCCTGGCCATGTCCTGTAAGTTCTATAGAACTAGGAGAAAGCCTAAGTAGAGCTACTGAATCTCCTAAGGTGCTGAAAACCCATCTGTTGTAACAAAATGCATGCTTAGTGGGAGCAACAGCTTTTGTTTATAATAGAGTGGTCTTGAATGAGCTGCATTTCTCCATGGGAGATGGCACTGTTCCTTATGAAGTATTTATTAGATTGAAGAAATTATTACTTTGGGGAACTGTAAGACTTCATATAACCTTGCATCTTTCCCTTTTCTTCTGCAGAGAGATATCCTTATGCATAGGTGGAGATACCCTTCCTTGTCTCTTCATGGAATTGAAGGAGCCTTCTCAGCCCCTGGAGCGAAGACTGTGATTCCTAGGAAAGTGATTGGCAAGTTCTCAATCCGGCTTGTGCCAAACATGGCTCCTGAAGAAGTCACAAAGCATGTATGTTTAGATGTATTGATTGTCTCAAAACAACTAGTCTCTAAACCTTTCCTGTTCTCTGTGCATGGGGGAAGAGTATTTCTGGTTTCCAAAGCAGTTCTGGTTATTTACTTTGCTACTGTCTGTTCTGCTCAGAGATAGGGAGTTGCTGTATGATCCCACACTGCATCATTGTGGCCTGGTGTCCTGGTTTCAGCTGGGACAGAGATCATGTTCTTCATCATAGCTAGTGTGAGGCTGTGTTTTGGATTTATGCTGAGAAGGCTGATAACATACTGATGTTCATAGTTGCTGCCAGGACTGTCAAGGACTTTTCAGCTTCTCTGTTGTGCCAGTGTCTGCAGGTGCAGGAGAAGCTGGGAGGAAGCACAGCCCCAATTAATAGCCTAGGATTTGACCTTAGGTTTAGGATTGAGACCCAAACTGGCCAATGATCTATTTCATATCATGCATGTCATGCTGAGTATGTAGATGAGGGTCTGTCCTGAAGTACTCTCCCCTTTTCCAGATGGTCTCTCTTGCTTGAGGTCACCTTCTCTTGCTCTGGGTTGTCTCCCTCTGGGTCACCCAGCTCTCAGGGTTGTCTATGTCTCAGATGCTCAGGCCCTTATCTCCATTCTGGGATTGCAGTTTTGGGACTCTCTCTGCTCAGGGTTTGTTAGCTGGGAAGAGGCTGAGCCTTGGTCATTGAGTGAGTGGTATCACTCTGTATCACTCATTTGTGTATTTGTATATATTGCTGCTATTACCATTATTATTTCAATATTATTGTAGTTTAGTTATTATTTTTTTCTTATTTCAACCCACAAGTCTCTTTTCCCTTCACCCCTTTATAATTTTCTTCCCCATCCCCAGGAGGAGGGAGGGTGAGCAAGTGGCTGTGTGGTGTTTGGTTGTCAGCCAGTGTCAAAGCTATGACACCTGGCTATTGAATTTCTCTCAACTAACTTGAAGAAAGGGCTCAGGAGTAAATGCTAATTTAATTGTAGGGCACTTGGATTACTGTTGTGGTTTTGAACTCTTGCCTGGCAGCCAAACACAACAACTGTGTGCTCATCTTCCCCCTTCCTGGGGATGAGAAAGGGGTAAACGGAAAAGAAACTGGTGTGTTGAGATAAGAATTTAATAACTAAACTACAATAATATTGAAAATAATGATAATAGTAACACGTACAAATATACAAATGAGTGATACACAGTGATACTGCTCACCACCCAATGACCAAGCCTCAGCCTGTTCCCAGCAGAAGTGCATATTCAGAAGCAAAAGTGTTTGACATATTGGCTACCTGTTTTATGGTATACTGTTAACTTGCTTAAAGGACATAGTCACTTCAGAGCAGAGATACACAGGAATAATATGAAATAATAGTAAAAGTATTGCTGCACAGTAGTAGTGATCTGTAAGTCCCCAAGATACTTTTAGTATATGGTCTTTACCAGTATTCATCATACAAATGCTAACAGTAGATAAAATTGTTCAATCTTTCTTACAGGTTGAAGACTACCTGAGCAAAAAGTTTGCAGAGCTGCAGAGCCCCAACAAATTCAGTGTATACTTAGGCCATGGTGGAAAACCCTGGGTGTCAGACTTCGATCATCCTCACTACATGGCTGGTAGGAGGGCCATGAAGACAGGTCAGTGGGTCACTTAGCATTGGGAGGGCTAGCATTTCAAGAATTAATCAGGAGGTCATGTTTGCAGAATATTTACACAGTTCTGCACTTAGATAAGTTTGGCTCGCAAAGTAACAAAGCATGTTATGTGCAGTCCTTAAATCTGAGGTACAGGAAGGAAATAAACTTGATATCAGGCTCATTCCTACTATACTGGAACAAGTCCATTGGTATGGCATTGCTTTTGTATAAGGATGAGACTGTCAGTTCAGATCACCAGCTTAGCCAAAGCCCTCAAAGTTTAGTCATCCTAGCATCCCTTTAATAAGTTGTCCTAGGGCAACTAGAACAAATCTAACTTGTGTTGGAGTACAAACAGGCTTTTTGATGAAGTGTTATTTCTGTAACAGAACTGAACTCTGAAGGTGACAATACTCCAGCACTACATCTAGGGGGAGGAAGCTCCACAGTTTTGTGGCCTGTGCAGTCTGTCTGATTAGAACAGAGCAAGATTTGGCCAGCACCTGGTACAGATGTGACTGGTACTTGATGGCTTAAGTAAGGATTTGCTGGAAAAACAAATACAGCTCCAAATGACTAGAGTATCACTTTGTTCTAGTTTTTGGAGTTGAACCAGACCTGACAAGGGAGGGAGGAAGCATTCCTGTTACCCTTACTTTTCAAGATGCAACAGGCAAGAATGTCATGTTGCTTCCTGTTGGAGCTGCAGATGATGGTGCCCACTCTCAAAATGAGAAGCTAAATAGGTAAGAATACTTATCCCTGTAACAGGCTGAGTTTACTATAGGTCTTGGCATGTATTATGAAAAGGACCAAGAAGAATTGAGCTCTTGCTTTTCTACAATACTCTGGAAGGCAAAGTGCCATTTCTCCCTAGCAGAGAATGACTGGTTGGGTAACTATTCTGTAGCTGAATTTTGATCTTGTCACTGCTTCTGGTTTCATACAATTGAAACCAGAAGCAGTTTTTATATTTGGGTCTCTAAGCTTGGCTACCCCCTAACCCAAGGGTGGCATTTCTCTCTTGCCAGGGAGATGAGGGGAGGTTGGGAGAGGTGGCCTGTTGCCTGTAACAGTAGTGCCTGTAGTGTCTGTGTGCATAGGACTAATATTGTGAAAAGCACAGCTGCTAGAAATGCAGCTCAAACTAAGACAATGCTAATGGAAACAATCTTCTTTTCAGGTACAACTACATCCAGGGGGTGAAGATGCTTGGTGCATATCTCTATGAAGTTTCCCAGCTGGAGGATTAAGTTAGACACCTTACCTTCTGGCTTCAGAAGTCTGAATTCTCTTGTTAAATATCACAAGTCTTCCATGGCTCCCCTTTTCCACCAGTACTCCACTGCTTTGGTGGGGGAGAGGGAAGCATGCAGTTCCACTTGACAAAGAACACTGTATAACGAAAGTATTTCTTTAAATGCTTACTTCAAATGACAGACTATTTCTTATCTGGCCAGCAGTCCTGAACTACATCTTTGTCGCTTCTGTGTCACTTCAAAGTTGTGGTTTGCTGTACTCATCTACTTTTCCTGTAAAGCAGGAGGAGTGGTTTGCTCTCAACTGTTTAAGCAGCCACATCAGTTGCAGAACTGCCAGCCAAGTTTAAAGTTCTTATTCCTGGATATGTCCTGGAAGTAAGTAGTCAAAGTGACAGATTACAGGGCTATACTGGAATGTGTTCAAGCTGTAGTGAGGCATCTATCTTGCTAACTGAGTGATTTGATAGTGGTTTGTCTCTTACAGTTTATACCTGCCTGCAGGTTTCAATTTATAGTGAATTAGGTTATAACAAAATTCACTGTGGTTATGACTACTGGCCATCTTTTTGTAAAGCTGCCTCCTTTGTACTCCCTAAAAAGGACAATAAATAATCATGCACTAGAATTTGTCTTCTGGTCTCTAAGGAATAAAAATTATTTGGGAGGGAAAGCAACTCCATGTAACTTGAGAGGAGCTCTTCTGTGGCTATAGAGGCAGATGAGTAACATGCATACACAAACTGTACTTCTTGGGAATGCAGATTTCTATTCCCTAAGCTCTGTCTCCATAACAGCTTGTTGACTTGAAGCAGATTTTGCTAAATCCTGCTCTTGTGTGAGAAAACAAGCTCGGAAAATGTTCCGTTTTGGCTCTTTAAGCCAGGTCATCACACTGTAGCACAACTGATACTGCAAGGGAGTGGGTAGAATTTGTAGGCGTACATGGTGGCAGAAAAGCATCACTCACTGCAGCTACTGTCTGAGATAGAAGTTCAAGCTGTCTTTTGGAAATGTCCAACACTTTTAGTATGTCAAAAACCAAACCCTCTTAAATGTGTGCTAATCTGAACTGGATTTGGCTCACTCTTTCTGAATTCCCTGACCAGCACTAGCAGGCTAAGCAGGTATGTATTTCAAGAGATGATGCTTGCTGCTTTGCTCTGAGAACTGCCTGAGAGCATGGTGCAGTCCTGCAGCCTGACAAATAGGTAAGCAGGATGTGATGCTTCCTCCCTTGGGAGGTTTTTTCCTTGTCTATCTGTTTTTCACTGTTGCTTGAACTGGAGTCTTAACAGTGGATAGCAGGGGCAGGGGGGAGTCTTCTGTTCTAACTGTGAAGCTTCTGAAGCTCCTCTGCCTTGTTTGTTTGGTTCTGTTTGGTTTGTCGTGGAAGGTCATGTCTGGAAATAATCTGGTACCATTAAACTGTGCATTTGCAGCTGAGGTATGGGCTGAAACCCATATTGTATGCCTGTGTCAGTACTTGCAACAAGCATCTGTAGGAACACTGTAGTGGGCTGCTAGGTTGTCACCCTTCAGTGACAGTGGAACTACTCTGATACAACATGCAGTCTGTACATAGGACAAAGCTGGCATGGCTGAATATTGAAGGTCATCTGTATCCTATACAGGATAACTAGTCCTAGTAGTCTATGTGTTTACTGAATTGACACCTCAAACTTCCCTAAAGGGGGTAGCTTACATGAAGACAATTCCCTGGCTGTTAGTGAGTTTATATTGCTTGTTTCCAACCTATCAGTTTGAAAAGCATTAAAACTGGCCTTCTATGATGGAGTGACAGTATTTGTAGACAACGGAATGGTGATGGATGTAATCTACCTGGACTTGTGCA